GTCATAGCTCCCAGCAACCTCCAATCTTTGGGCTCAAGCGATCCTCTTGCCTCAGTTTTTCCTGTTATTAGTAGAGATGGGGTCTCACTTTTGCTCAGACTGGTCTTGAATTCGTGAGTTTAAGCATTCCTCCCACCTTGGCTGCCCAGAGTGCTGGGATTATAGGTGTGAGCCACTGTGCCAAGTCTGTTTTAGAGTTTTTTTATTAAAAGTAAAGTGATCTGGGAGGCTGAGGTGGATGGATCGCCTAAGCTCACAGGTTCAAGACCAGCTTGAGCCAGTGTGAGACCCCTGTTTCTAAAAATAGCTGGGCATTGTGGTGGGCGCCTTTAGTCCCAGCTTGAGTGCAGAGTTGGAGGTTTCTGTGAGCTGTGACTCCACAGCACTCTACCAAGAAGGACAAAATGAGGTTCTGTCTCAAACAAACAAACAAACAAACAAAAAAGTGAAGTGAAGCTGTGTGCTAGGCAAGATGGCTCACATCTGTAAATCCAGCACTTTTGGAGGCTGAGGTGAGAGGATTGTTCAAGGACAGGAATTCAAGACCAGCCTGAGTAACATAGTGAATTCCTGTCTCTGCAAAAAAGTTTAGAAAGAAATTGGCTGGATGTTGTGGTGTATTCCTGTAGTCCCTGCTACGTGGGAGGCTGAGGCAGGAGGTTCACAAGAATTTGAGGTTATAGCGAGCTATGACCAGGTCACTATACTTTAGTCTGGACACCAGTCTCTTTGAAGAAAAAAAAGTAAGTTTTTTCATCTTACAAGGTAGACTTGATATCTCACTGAGGATCAGCAAGGGTATGTAATGAACTTGAAAGGATACTGTGTCAGTGGTTCCACTAAAGACTCTTCTAAGCCAGGTTCATGGCCTGTAGTCATATCTACCAAAGAGGCTGAGGCTGGAGGATCACTTGAAGCCAGAAGTTTAAGGCTGCAGTGAGCTATGATCATGCCATAGCACTCCAGCCTGGGTGACAGAGTGAGACCTCATCTCTTAAAAAAAAAAAAAGAAAAGAAAAAGATTGTATTTTCCACAGTGGTGGATGTCAAAGAGTTTGGATCATAAAAGTGAAGAAAGTCACCTTTTCTGGCTGGCTTTTTCCTGGCTTGTTCATTTTCCAAGTGGAGATGTGGTTTTACCACTGAAGTGAAGGCAGGCATCAGCTCCCTGTGAGCACCTATTGAATGTGCCTTTGGCTTGTTTGCAGGTAGGTGGAGTTGTGAATTCAGTTTGAACTCTACTGTAGATCTTATTTCATTTTTTTAATATCTTTTTAAAAGTCTTGTCTATTGATAAAGTTTGACATTCCATTGAACTGGAAATAGACTGAAATCAAAATGGGTGAGGAATGAGTGATTTGCCATAGTCCTTTTTATTGTTTATTCCAACAGAGGAAAGTTTGGTTAATTGACTCCAGGAAAGAGTAAAGGTGTGCACGAGCTTGTGCAAGGCTGCTTGATCCTGTAATCTAGAGATGGTTGTAAATGCAGCCTTACTTTACTTGGAAATGCTAATTTTAAAGTCAAAAGACAATTTCCTACCTCCTTCCTAAGAGCACTGGAAATCATGTAATGAATTGAAGACATTTGTGCTGCAGTGGATGTAGTTTTCACAGTGTTGCTTTATGTTGTGTAATTCACTTTATTTGTAAATTGGGGTTTGTTTGACAAGGTGGAAAAAGAGAGCTGAATCTAAACGTAGGGTAGCTTTAGCACCCTTTGTCCTTAACAGTACATACAACTTGTGAAAAACTGAAGTTTTAGTGTTTATTTTGGGGCTATTAGAAAATTGTTGCCTTGTAAAGTACTAGTCATTTTCCGCTACTCTGTAATAAAGTCTGTCTCTGCTTTATAATACCCACCAAATGATATGTTTAGTTTTATCCAGATCCTAAAGACAGGGAATGGGTATATCGGGAAGAAAGGCTTTCTTTTAGCTCTGTGAGCCTCAATTCTAACCACGCCTAGGTTTTTCATTTCACACTAATAGTTTTTGGGGAGACGTAGGGTTGTAGAAAAGTAAGCACAAGTACTGCGATGTTTCCTGCATCATATTAGAGCTGAATTCCTGTTGATCTTGGATGAGGGGTATTGGCTTGCAATCTTTTTCTTTTTTTTAAAGAGGAAAATGGTCAAGAAAAGGGACCACATCTCTTTAAGAGGTGGGTAGGTCAACGTAGCTACCTACCTCAGTGGTTTAATTTAAAGCTAGAATCCAAGGAAGACATTCCTAATGTTTGTGGTTCATCTCCCCATCCCCTGTTGTAGACCCTCTTTGACTTACCCACATTCAAGAAATTGCCTGTGTTTCTGGGATGCAAAATCAGGAAATAATATGTCCATTGAAATTGCCAGCCAGGTGTGGCGGCTGACACCTGTAATCCCACCTAGCTCTTTGGGAGGCCAATACATGAGGGTTGCTTGAGGCCAGCAGTCTCCTCAGCAGTGTAATGACCCTGTTTCCATAACTGGGTGTGGTTTTCCTACACAGGAAGCTGAGGCAGGAGGGTCACTGGTGCCCAGGAGTCCATGGTTGCAGTGAGCTGGGATCATGGTGTGACTGCTCTCCAGTCTGGGTGATGGAGCAATGCCCTGCCTCTAAAAATAAATACAATTTGGGGAGACTTCAGGCCACAGATACTTTTGTGGTCTGTGCTTTTCCTTTAAAAAGAAAAAAGAGGTGGTGCCTGTAGCTCAGTGGGTAGGGCACTGGCCACATACACCAAGGCTGGCAGGTTTCAGCTAAAACAACAATGACAACTGCAACAATGAAAAAATAGCCGGGCTTTGTGGTAGGCGCCTGTAGTCCCAGCTACTCGGGAGGCTGAGGCAAGAGAATTGCTTGAGCCCAAGAGTTTGAGGTTGCTGTGATCTATGATGTCACAGCACTCTACCAAGGGCAACAAAGTGAGACTCTGTTTCAAAAAAAAAAAAAAAAAACACTTTCAATCAAATGGCTGGGCACAGTGGTTCACACATATAATCCCAGACCCAGTAGTTTGCGAGGCTGGGGCAAGTGGATTGCTTGAGCTCAGGAGTTCAAGACCAGCCTGAGCAAGAGCAAGACCCTGTCTAAAAATAGCCAGACGTTACACAGGCACTGGTAGTCCCAGCTATTCAGGAGCTTGAGGCAGGAAGATCACTTGAGCCCAAGCGTTTAAAGTTGCTGTGAGCTAGGATGATGCCACATCACTCTACCCAAGCAAACAGAGTGAGACTGTCTTTGAAAACTATTGAAAAAAGTTTTCTGTAGAAGAATACTTAGTCTATTCTTCTGAAACAGTCTGTGTTTCCTGTCAGTTTACTAAGCCCCTTTTGAGGGTAAATTCTCTTTTCCTTGCTCTGTCCTGTCACTTGCTTTGTGTACTGACAGCCTTTCTCAGATGCAGATTTTGTAGTGTAGTAAGAAGCCTCTACTTTAAGAACCAGTTAAATGAGGAAAACATGATGGGCTTGTAGTTGTCCTCACATTCCTAATTTTGAAGAAACTGATTGTACGGGGAGTGTATTTACCTGATAATAAGGTTACATTGTCAAAATAAGGTGACTTCGGAAGCAAATGAAGTAAAGCCATCTCTTGACCTGGCAGTCTTTCCCTATTCAGTTTTTACAGAGTGGCATTTTGTCTGCATATCCAAGAGCTGCCCCACCTGTGGTGTTGCAGTGTGGCTTCTTCATGTTGGCAGAATCTGTGCTTGGCTGCTCCATGTCTGAGTCTGTGCCATGTACTACGGGGCTACTGAGCTTGGGAAACATGGCTCCTCTCCGCTGAGAAAGGCACCAGATAGCAAATACTTAGTATTAAAAACATGTAAAATATCTCATTAATAATTTTTTTTTTGAGACAGAGTCTCACTATGTGACCCTTGGTAGACTGCCGTGGCGTCACAGCGCACAGCAACCTCAAATTCTTGGGCTTAAGTGATTCTCTTGCCTCAGCCTCCCGAGTAGCTGGGACTACAGGCGCCCACCACAACGCCTGGCTGTTTTCTTGCTGCAGTTGTCATTGTTGTTTAGCAGGCCTGGGCCGGGCTCAAACCCGCCAGCCTCGGTGCATGTGGCGCTGTAACCACTGTGCTATGGGTGCAGAGCCTCATTAATAAATTTTTATATCAGACTGGGTGTGGTGGTTCACGCCTGTAATACTAACACTCTGGGAGGCTAAGGCAAGTGAATTGCCTGAGCTCAGGGGTTCGAGACCAGCCTGAGCAATAGCGAGACTCTGTCTCTATTCAAAATTGAAAAACTAGCCAGCCATTGTGGTGGGTGCCGGTTGTCCAGCTACTCAGGAAGCTGGGACAAGAGGCTTGCTTGAGCCCAAAGAGTTCAAGGTTGCTCTGAACTGTGATGCCATGGCACTCCACCCGAGGAGACAGTGAGACTCTGTCTCAAAAAAATAAAATAAAATTTAAAAATAAATGTTTATGGGCTTGGCGCCCATAGCACAGTGGTTACAGTGCCAGCCACATACACCGAAGGTGGCGGGTTCAAACCCAGCCCAGGCCATCTAAACACTACAACAAAAAAAATAGCCAGGCATTGTGGTGGGTGCCCATAGTCCCAGCTACTTGGGAGGCTAAAGGGAGACAATCACTTGTGCCCAGGAATTTGAGGTTGCTATGAGCTGTGACGCCACAACTCTACCAAGGGCGATATAGTGAGATTCTATCTCTAAATAAATAAATAAATGTTTATATCAGTTACATGTTGAAATGACAATATTTTGGATACACTGTGTAAAATAAAATTGTTTCACCTATTTGCTTTTACTTTTTAATGTGGTTACTGTAAAATCTGAAGTGACAGGTGGCTGGCCTTCTGCTTCTTTGACCAGGGCTACTCTGTTTCTGAGAGACCTCAGGTCCTTGAGGAGGACTCCATGTGGTCTCTTTCTGTCTGTGCATTGGTTTCGCCTCCATCTCCAGGGAATGAGGTGGTGATTACATTTATCTAGTGATACATGAGTAACTCGGATCTTATGATTTCTTTTGTTTTGCTAGTGATGATGGCCAAAGAGAAGCCACCAATAACCGTCGTTGGAGATGTTGGAGGCCGCATTGCAATCATAGTGGTATGGCCAAGTGTCACCCCTCACTTGCAGAGATGACCCTGCTGGCTGTCAGTAGGTTGTCCACTTGGGACTGTGATTCTAGTAATGATAAATTTAATGGGATCCATCTGTTCTTAGTCACCTAAACTCCCTTAGGACAAATAGTAGGAATTTTTATTTAGATAAACAAGAATTAAAGTATAACCTACATGTAAAATGATTCTGGTACTGTAGGATCATCTCATAGGTCCTAGGTTCCCTCAGACCAGCTTGCGTCATCATCCTTCAGCCTTGGGCCCATGAGGTGACCTGCACAGGAGCTGTTCTTCTTCACAAATGAGAACAGGTGACCCTGTGCAGGCTCATTTGTACTTTGACATCTGTTTGCTGGCTGGAAGGTCACTGGTCCTTTGTAGAAGCTTACTTTATTTGTTTTCCTCTCATGTCACTTTCTCTCGGGAGTAAAATTAAATGTGTGGGGTTAACCAGAAATTTGAAACAAGGATATGAGTCTTGGCCATGCTCAACGCTAGCTGTGATGGCCTGTGTACCTAACTGTAAGGTGTCAGTGCTCTCGTCTCCGGCAGACACACAAGGTGTCATCAGGGCACTTCTGTTGCCATTGCTGGGTATTCAGTCTGACCCAGGCACACAGCTCCATCTTCCATCAGAAATCCTTTGAAACTAAGTACAGAAAAGGGCAGGGAGGTAACGTCTTTATAGACTGGGCTAGAGGGTGTTTCCTCCATACAAACTCACACTGTTCTCCCTTCAGGATGACATTATTGATGATGTGGAGAGTTTTGTTGCTGCTGCAGAGATCCTGAAAGAGAGAGGTGCTTATAAGATCTATGTCATGGCCACCCATGGCATCCTGTCTGCAGATGCCCCCCGCCTGATTGAGGAGTCCTCTGTTGATGAGGTCTGTTTTTAAAGGGCTTGAGTCAAGATTTGCTGGTGTATTTTCCAGGACTAAAAATGACTCCGTCAATACTAAAATGCTTAATCTCTCTCTAGAGTGCCTATGAAGTGGTGCTTTTGGTGGCTAGTGGTTTACTGGAGGCAGATGTGTATTTAAAAATATAGACAGTCCCCAAATTATGATGGCTCAACTTAATGATGGTGTGGAACCATTGCAATTTCAAAGTAATGTACAGTATTCAATAAATGTCATGAACTATCCAGCACTTTATTATAAAATAGACTTTGTGGTAGATCAAAGTGGAACACATTTAAGGAAGGGGTAAAGCTAAGCTCTGATGTTTAGGTTAGACATACTGATGCATTTACAACTGACGATGGGTTTATCCCAGCGTAACCCCATCCTAAGTGGAAGAGCACCTGTATATGTCTGTTTGCATGAAGATTTGCTTCAGTACTTTAATTTTGCACTTCAGTACTATTTCTCTTGAGACTTGAATTCTTCCGATAGTGAAAGTTGTGCACAGTGCTGGGGCTCACTATATTTCTGCATGTCGACCATGACATTCATAGAACTTGAGTCTTATGTTCTGAGATATGTAACTTTTCTCTTACATAAATTTAATTAAGTTTAGTTTATAAAAATTATACTCAGTGGAACAAGGCACCAGCTAGGAGGAGGAGAAGAAGGTGACTAAGTTCAGACCTTAGGCCGTGGGTACTGAGTGTTAGATGAGCTCTTCTGAGGGACCAGTTTGGGGCACACCTGCATCATAACAGCGTTTACTTTCTGTTGCTGCACAACTAGGTGGTGGTGACGAATACTGTGCCTCATGAGGTGCAGAAGCTGCAGTGTCCCAAGATCAAGACTGTGGATATAAGTTTGATTCTTTCTGAAGCTATTCGAAGAATTCACAACGGAGAATCCATGGCTTACCTTTTCCGAAACATCACTGTGGATGACTAGCTTTCACTGGCTTTGACTCTGGAATGCCTAAGGAAAACATGTAAAAAGCAGTGCCATCAGTTACATACACCGTGTGTCCTTGCAAGGGAGGACTGGAAGTCATTGGAGTTAGTCTCTGTCACCAAGATTGGTGGGTAGGAGGCATTAAGATAGTCAAGAAGAAGACCGAGCTAACGGATCAATAAAATGGCCTTAAATGGCTGCCATCATCAGCCTTGTTCCTTAAACAAAAGTTATAGATGCTTTCCTGGAAAGAATCTGAAAATCTTGTTGATTTGAAAGAGCAGTTAAAAGCAGATAGTCTTAGCTCTGTAATGACCATCATTGTTTCAACTGCAGGGAAGTTCAAGTGTTGATATCGAACCTGGTTAGGGAAGCTGAGTGCCTGTCCTGTTCCTGTCCTGTCATCCTCTCTGTAGTCAACTTTAAGTCTTTGATAGAGAATCCTATTTTTCTTTCAGAAACCGCTGTGCCTACAGCCATTAAACAATGAAGCATTTATGTTGTTACTCCTCCCAAGGACATCAGATTAGGAAATAGTGTCCCATCTCTGGGTATCTGTATGGCTCTAAAGTTGCAAATAAAAGAATTTATTGTCTCCCTAGTGTCTTCACTACACTGTGGACCTGTCTGCTCCCTACCTGGATGGTGACTATCTTATGTCCGAACTGGGCAGGAGATCATGGATATAGCATAAAGTGTGGTCAGACCCATGGCTGGTTAATCTCCTGCAGGTTCTGTCCCCTTTCTGAGTGCTGACGTTAAATCCTTGTTGAGTAATATATTTAAAATCTAAATTAGACTGGGCAAGATGACTCACGCCTGGAATCCTAGCACTCTGGGAGGCTGAGGTGGGTGGATTGCTTGAGCTCACAAGTTTGAGACCAGCCAGAGCAAGAGCAAGACCCTGTCTCTACTAAAAATGAAAAACTGAGGCAAGAGGATTGCTTGAGCCCAAGAGTTTAAGGTTGCTGTGATCTGTGATGCCATGACATCTACCCAGGGCAACAAAGTAAGACTCTGTCTCAAAAGGAAAATAAAATTTAAATTTTAAAAAAATGGACCAATTGTCCCTCTTCCTGTGTGATAGACATTTATCATATTACCTAGGGCTGTAGTTGACCCTTCCCAACATTTTTTTTTGATTTCAATTTTTATTTTTGGTCAGGTGTGGTGGTCATGCCTATAATCCTAACACTCTGGGAAGCCGAGGCAGGTGGCTCACTTGAGCTAAGGAGTTTGAGAGTAGCCTGAACAAGAGACCCCCTCTCTACTAAAAAAAAAAAAACAGAAAAAACTAGCCGGACATTGTGGCAGGTACCTGTATTCCGAGCTGCTCTGGAGGCTAAAGTAGGAGGATCACTTGAGCCCAGGAGTTTGAGGTTGCTGTGAGCTATGACACCACGACACTCTACCCCAGGTGACAGAGACTCTGTATCAAAGAAATTTCTTTTTTTTAATTTTTTTCTTAATAGAATTTGCAACATTTTAAAATCCATGATCATGATTCTAGTTTACACAGCCATTGTTAGGGGAGGCCTTACTGCAAATGTACATTTACTTTTTATACCTGTGAGCCTGGTCCAATTCAGGACTAAATGCCACAGGAAGGAGGACTGTCCCTGGGAAACAAGCTAGAATTGTTTATTCACTCTGTTAGCTCCTGAGAGGCAGAATTCTATTTGTATAATTGCCTTTTCTTTGTGGGGAAAAGAAAAGTTTACTTGACGTTTTTATCCTTTTCTTAATGACAAGAAAAGCTTGCAACCTACAATCAAGATTTTGATCACATTAGGTTTCTGAAGCCCACAGATAATTTAGCTGCTGTCAATAGACCAGGTGAGGGGACTTGCACGGAGAACTCAAGATAATCAGCGTGCTGAAGGGAGAGCTGTGGACAGGAGATCAGGAGACCTTGTCATCTGATCCTTGTTCGTGACATCAGGTAGATGACTAGTCCTTTCTGGGCTTCTGCCATTAGCTATGAAAAAGGTTTGGAATTGAAAACAGGTCGTTTTCAAGTCTAAAATTCCACTTGTACCTCCAGCTGATGTTTTCTTTACTGTATTTTCAAAGATGGAAAATTCTAACTGTACTTCATTAGCAAAAATATTTCGAATGTACAGTGGCTCCAAGAATTAGAATATGCTACCATTTCCCTTGGTATTTGGTGAGTCCTTATATGAGCCTGGCTCTTAAGTCCCAGGGATCTAAAAACATGAGACTCCAGGGGCTGATCTGGTCAGTGTGATGATTTGGCTGCTGGCATTCTTCTAGAAAGTCACTGAACTTAGCAATGAGGCCCTGCCTGAGCACCTCATCTTCCCCGCCAGATGGTTCTCCATCTTAAGGCTTTAATCTTGTGACTAGCTTCACATATTCTTAGGTAAGCATAAGTGCACAAAGAATTTGTCACAAAACAAAATATAAAAACACAAGTCTTGCTCTGTAGCCCCAGCTAGAGTGCAGTGGCATCATCATAGCTCACTACAACTTAAGACCCCTGAGCACAAAGGATCCTCCTCTCATTTTCCCAAGTAGCTGAGACTATGGGTAACTGCCACCACACCCAGCTAATTTTTTTTCTAGTTTTGGTACAGATGGGATCTCACTCTTGCCCAGGCTGATATTGAACTCCTGAGCTCAAGCAATCCTTCCTCTTTGGCCTCTCAGAGTGCTATGATTGCAGGCTATGATCCAACGTGCCCCACCTAGAACTTGTTCTTTTGACAGCAACCCTTGAAGACCTATTATATGCCAGTTATTGGGAATATAATAAGCAAAAGTCTTTTAATTAAAGGCCAACTCAGACTAAACTGAAAATCTGAATTTGAAAAGTTATTAAAATAATACAGTTGTTTCTGAGTGGGGGAGGGGGGTTGGTTCAAGGACCCCCCCTTGGACACCAAAATCCATGGATGCTCAAGTTCCTGCTTAAAACAAGTATAGTACGAGGTCAGATGATGAAGTTCAGGAACTCATCCTAGAAAAAGTCCTGCATACTTTATTGCTGAATATCAATCACTATAGTCGCCAGATTGCCTAGGGGAGTACTTTGAAGGAAAAGATATCTCTGGATTACTTGTAATCCGTAACACAATGTGAAAAGTTGTTAGAAGGGAATAATGACAGAAAAGTTCCACATGTACAGACACAACCATTTCTCACCTCCCCAGGAGTGCAGAGCCCAGGTGAGGGTGTGTGGTATAGACAGTCCTGTGGCTTTGCTTCCTGTCAGCACTTGTTATTCACACACTTTCTGGAAGAACTGAGTGTGGGGCAGTCGTGCCTCGGTTGTTGAGGGTGTCAGATCTGTCTAGTCCTGCCTCTAATGAGCTGGACGCTGAGATGTGCCTAGAATACTGTGCTTTGAGATCCGTTAGGCTAGGGCAGCACACCTGGGGGCTGACTGGACCTGCCTGGGTAGTGGGTGGTCTTTTCCAAGTTGGCCCCACCTTTGGTTGAACAAAACATGAGAGCTGTTCCCAGGGAGCCCAGGCCCCAGGGCTGGATCCCTTAGACCTGGCCCACTGCTCTGTGGAATGGACACAGCTAACACAAAGCACGGTTGCCATGATGCCCTGAAGTCTTTCTATTCCCTAAGGGGACCCCCAAGAGTGAGTGGGCTACTCTTCGTAGGTTAAGAGAATGGATGAAGTCTAGCTAAATCTTTGCCTCCCCACCCCACTAAACTGCTACGTCACTAACGGAAATGCTTTGGCACACCCGGAGTCTCCCCCATTATGGATTGGGGGTTCCTTCCAGTATGGAAGCCCCTCCCCGCACTCCGTGCTGGCTTTTGCTTCCCGGAAGGCTCTCAGCGGCACATTCTAACAGAATCCTCAGAACCGCCAGTGAAGGGGGCCACCTCTCGTTCAAACGTCCGCCGCCACGAGGGAAGGGGAGTGTTAAGGGCTCGAGACTGGCCGGCGCGGCCGGTAGCGGAAAGTCCCCATCCCGGACCCGGCTGGGGAGGTCGGGGTGCGGATCACCTGAGGCGGGAGTCGGAGGTGGCCAGGCTCCAGACTCCGTCTGGTGACTGTCGCCCAGCGCTGCTGAGCCCAGGGGCAGAGGAGCCCTGGGGGCCTCGGAGGGCCCCGGAAAAGCCCCAGGGCGAGGCATAGAGTGAGAGGAGCATGGTCACCTGTTCCCCCGGCAGCGTGGACCGCTCCTGACCGGTGTCATGAGGCCGCCCGCGATGGGGGAGACCACGGTCTCCCTCCAGGAGCTGGCGGACCTCGCCATCGGCACCCCCGAGGTGGGTGCCGTCAACTTCACGGCTCTGCACACGCTTATCGTGGCTATGCTCAAGAACCTCGGCCTCCAGGCCACCCGGGTCAACTTCGTGTCCCTGTCACCCGAGCCGAGCCGCTCTCTGGACTACTACCCGCGGCTCTCGATCAGCTCGCCGCACCTGCGCAAGTCATCCACAGGGGCCTCGGTGCCCCGGGAGCGAGAGCGGGAGCGGGAGCGGGAGAAGGAGCGGGAGCAGCGGGAGCGGCGGCGGAGCTTGAGCAAGACGGTGTCGCAGCAGGCGCTGGAGAGCCAGATGAGAGACCTGGACGACCAGGTACAGGACCTCAGTAGGCAATTCAAGACCATTAGCAGCCACATGCGGGGCATCGCCAGCCATGTGCAGCACATCGCCCAGGCCACCGGGATGGACGCTGAAACCCGGGAGTGGCTGGAGGAGAAGATCATAGGCATGGTGTCCCAGGATTCGCAGGATTCGCAGGCTAGGGTGGAAAAACCTGAAGTCAGCAGCCTGTTAAAACCTAGAATCAGCAGTCCCCAGGTGAGTGTACTAGGGATCCTCCCCAGGTTTCCCTCCAGGCCTGAGTCCAGACCTGCAGCTGGGGGGGGCTCCAGGCCTGGGGCGGCCTGGTCCCATGTGGCCCGTGCTCTACCTTGCAGGCCATGACGATGCTTCAGAATGTCATACAAGATGTGAAAGACCTGAAAGAAACCAACCCTAAGGTAAGAAACCCACCCAAGCTCCCTGAGTTGAAGCCCATGGGACACCCCACTTTGGGAAGCCCAGTGGGCCCCATCCCACACCCTTTCTTCCTGGCCCTGTTTAAGCCAGGCTCACTCACCACTTGCCACACACCCAAGGATGCTGAACTGACCCAGAGGGCAGCTGACAACTCCTCAGAATGTTCTTAGAGTGAATTCCCTTTTTAATAGAATAAGAACATAAGGAGATCATGTTGGCAGACAAAGGCCAGTCCGAATGGAGAGTGAGACCACAGCTCCTTGTGATTAAGACACAAGCCTGAGCAGGCAGGAGACAATTTCCCTTTCATTTCCTCTGTACACGCAAATTGTGCAGCCCCCACAGAACAGCAGGAAAGCAAGGCAGGTCAACTCCACTCAAGGAGGCAATGGGCACACGCCCATCTCTCAGAACTGTGTTTGCTGGATGGGAGGCTTTGAGAGTTGGGACAGGAGGGGAGGGATGCCAAACACATACTCGCCTGCATCACCCTAGCCACAACCCCAGCCCCACTCCCTTTGCACCAGTGAGCAGACTGGTGTGGGTAGTGGTCTCTGCTTTTCTTTTTAAAGTGTGGAGGGGTTTTTGTTTTGCTTTGCTTTGCGTACTAATCTTAGATTCTGGAGGTTTGCACAAGTAAGGAGCAATTTAAGTTTTAGAAATTTGCTTTGGTTCTTTGGAGGTGCTTTTCTTTTTAAACAGCACAGACATTCAGATGCTATTGAAGTACCTGTTACTTTTTGTTCCTTGAGAGCCCAAGTGGGCTCAGCCTGCAGTGCCAGGAGGCTTTGAGTGGGTTTTGTAGTGTGACATGAATGCCAGGACCAGGACCAGAGCTGCCCATCCCTGTAGCAGCGTTTGCTCTTAGCCACCAGCCCTCTGTGCCGCCCCCTTGCACCCTACTTCCCTTCCTCTTTTTGGCTGGGAAAAGAATTGAGAGGGCCTGGCTTCACCAGCCAGGTAGAAACCTCCCTGCGTGGTGGGCCACAGGCTGAGCTCCATCCCTGAACCCTTCTTCCAGGAACTCCTGAGGAGGATAGACAATCTAGAGAACGTGGTCAGAGCACGAGATGAATTCCTGGTAATCTCCATCAGTTCTGTGGGCAGGGGCCCTCCAAGGGGAGAAAGGATGGTTGTCCTTAGCCTGGCTCTCTTGGGGTTTGTCCAAGTTCCCTTCATCCCTCCAGGCAGGGTGGTGTGTGCTCCCTGCCTCCTCAGCCTCTGCCCCTGGACTGAGGGTGAAATCCTTCTCACTCCTGCCCGGTGCTCTACTGGGGCTTCACATGGGGAAAAGAGCCAAGGTCCGTCCCTAAAACTTCCTGGGATTAAACTAAGGGTTTGTGCGTTTGTATTGTCTGTGACTGCAGCAAGTAATGGACCGGAAGATGTCTTTGGTTCCTAACGAAGAAGTCACCATGGTCACCTGGGAAGAGCTGGAGCAAGCGATCACTGACGGCTGGAGGAAAACTTCACAAACAGTGAGCAGACTGGTGTGGGTAGTGGTCTCGGGTGGGGCCCTCAGAACACTCCCTCTGTACAACTGCACAAGCTCCTGTTATGTGGATGTTCATAGTTTACTTTACAAGTTCCAGATTATGGATCGTTTAAACATTTCTTCCAGTCTCATAACAATCACTCCAAGGTGATAGTCATACATGTGAGCAGGGTGAATTCCTAGAAGTGGATGTGCATTTGGCTCAGCTGTTGCCAGATTGCCTTCGGTGGGTGTTGTTTCAGTCCAGACACCACCAGCAGTGCAAGAGAGGATTTACTCCCCGACACCCCCCAGCACTGAACGTTAGTATCTAGATTTCTGAGCTTTGCCTACTGGCTGGAGAGAAGATGGTTGGTACATGAGTGTAGTTTTAATTTGCTTTTGTGGCTTTTCAAACTTCTCTTGTGGTCTGTCCCAGAATGCATGAGTCCTTCCACTATATGTGGACCCCAGTGCTCAATCCTGGAAATAAAACCTCTATGAGGTGCTCTTTGCTGATGGTGACTTTTGCACACAAGCACACTATCCAGACACAGTTCACCGAATCGTTTTCAAATCCACAACCTTTCTTCATCCTCAACATTTTCAAGTGGCCCTTGAAGACTAGGTTTAGCTGCTCTTTTGATCTTGACATCCTCCTGACTTTCTGCAAAGGGGATCCTCAAAACAGATCAACAGGATAAAGAGTAAGCCCTTTGGTGCCACCAAGTGGTCATCTTAGGGAGTGCTAAGTATTATCTGGGTACAGAAAACACCCTGCCATCTGGAATCCTATATTCTTCAGGAGTTGCAAGATGAACCCTGAAAACAAAAGGCAGGGTTGCCTAAAAAAAAAAAAAAAGAGGCCTCTGCTTTCGCCGCCTTTTGTTAGAAGCCCAAGTCTTCCTTACACAAACCACAATCATTTTTAGTGAGGACCTCGTTTTCTCAGGGTGTGAGCTGAAGACACATGTGAAAATTAAAAAATAAGTAAACATAAATGCCTTTAGATAATATTTACTTCTCCAGATGTTAGAAAACATCAGTGTTTTGACTGTTGCTCATAATCATGAACAACTCCAAAAGCAAATGAGAATAAGTATAAATATTAGAAGACTTTTGAGAAGCAAGAGAACAAGTTCTGGTAACAGCCCGTTCAACCACTGCGGAGAGTGGAATGAAAATGCCAGGGGTTCCGCTGCCTCTGGCTGAGAACGTGCAGTGGGTGATGGGGCCCTCTAACATAAAAGTAAGGTCAGGACTTTGAACCTGGGTGTTGCTGAGGTCAGTTACAGGCTTTCCCAGGTAGTGGCAATGCTGGCAGTTGTGAGGCTTGCCATCTGCCTGTGTCATGAGCAGACAGCCAGGATTGAACGGAGGACAGTGAGTCCAAGACTGCAATCTGTACAGAGAGGAGTAACATTCTGCATGGGGCCACCAGACTTGGCCAGGGAGTTGGACTTGATCTTGAGAAAAAGCTTCCTTGGTTTCTTGGCCAGTGTGTTGGCTCACACCTGTAATCCTAGCACTCTGGGAGGCCGAAGCCGGTGGATTGCTTGAGCTCAAGAGTTTGAGACCAGCCTGAGTAAGAGTGAAACCTGGTCTCTACTAAAACCAGGCTCAGCACCTGTAGCACAGTGATTACAGCACCAGCCACATACACTGAGGGTGGCAGGGTCAAATCCAGCCCAGGTCAGCTGAACAACAATGACAACTGCAACCGCAAATAGCCAGGTGTTGTGCCGGGTACCCATATTGCCAGCTATATGGGAGGCTGAGGCAAGAGAATCACTCAAGCCCAAGAGTTTGAGGTTGCTGTGAGCTGTGACACCACGTCACTCTACCGAGGGCAACATAGTGAGACTCTTGTCTCAAAAAGAAAAAGAAAAACCAGCTAGGCATTGTGACAGATGCCTGTAGTCCTAGCTACCTGGGAGACTGAGGCAAGAGGATTGCTCAAATCCAGGAATTTGAGGTTGCTATGAGCTATGACTCCATGGCACTCTACTGGGAGTAAGACTCTGTCTCAAAAAAAAAAAATATATATATATATATATAACA